AAGTATGACAGCAAATTCCCCTTAAAACATGGATGCTTCAGGTTGGGCATGGCACCCACTTTATAATAACAATGATATCAAATGTTCGTATGACAGTGCAGTGCACCCTTGAATGAAATCACAGTGCTGCTAGTGAGGAAGAAGGCAGGAATTGGATTTGCAGGAGGTAACGAGCCATGTCCGCCATGGCCCATAGGTAGGAAAATGTCAGAAGGCCAACATGGTTGGAGTACCAAGACAGGAGGATATCAGCAAGAGCCAGAGGAAGGAGAGACCTGAAAGAAAGCTTAGGTTTTAACCCAAGTGTAGTGGGAAGCCAAAGAAGGGTTGACCAGAGGTGTGATGTGATCTTATTTTCACTCGAGTGTTATTCTGGCTACTCTGTGAACAAGGGATCGGACAGAGCGGAAGTGGAGTGTGGAGACTGGTTCAGAGGCTTAGGTCAGATGAGTGGTAATGGTTGCTTCTACCAGTGAGGCAGGGATGGAGTAGGAGTGGTAGATATACTTCGGATTTGAAGAATGAAGGAGAGGGATGTTTCAAGGATAAACCCAAGTTTGGGGCAGATGGCTAGGAGAGTGGTGTAGGAACAAGTTTAGGGGGTAGGTGAGATCAAGAATTTCATTTTGGGCATGTTGAACTTGAGACGCCTTTGGGATACCCACTGACTAGTGTAAGCACGTGTGGAGGTATAAATCTGGGTATGATCTGAGCAGTAGGACATCCAAATCCTTATCATTGCAGTGTACAATACAATATTTGGTTGGGGTCACGTAGAGCATCAAGCAAAGAAATACTGTATTTCTCTGTTTCTATTTTAAGTACAAACTTGATAAACATAAACTTGACGGTTACCTGGTCACCAGTAGCTTTACCCCAGGGATTAGTCTCAGGTTGATGTCATGATTGTGTCAGATTTCAAAATGGCAGCCTGGGTTTTTGTCTTCCTTGGTGCCTTCCAGAGCCCTGAGAGTCTCAAGCAGGGAATGAATGGACTTTGGACATCTCATTTGTGCCTTCCAAGATGTTCAGATCCTTATGAGTGAAAGGCCAAATCCTAGATATAAATTGCTACATAATAGGTCTATGCCTGGAGAACCACTGGTCTCAAATTCATCATTATCATTGGACTTCCCGGGCGGTCCAGTGGTTAAGACCCCACGCTTCCACTGCAGGGGGCACAGGTTCGATCCCTGGTTGGGGAAGTTCCACATGCTGCACGGTGCAACCAAAAAGAAAAAAGAAAAATCATCCATTATCAGTGTCCACAACGGGCATTTCTTGAGTCCATTCTCTATTCCAGGTACTGCAGTAGGTGCTAAAGGTAATCAAGATGACAAAGACATGATGCCTCTCATCAGAGCACTAACGATGTATACGGCGGGACAAGTAGCTTCCTAAGTAGACTGAGTGACAACAAGGCTTGTGTACAGCTCTAGGAGTTTCTAGGATGAAGCCACCATTGAGGAGGATGGGAGTATTCAGGAAGGGGGCACCGCTATTCCAATGATGTCTAGAAGGTTGGAAAAGTCTAACATAAGCAGAGAAGCTAGAGGTTAGCATCCCAACCAGGGGAGGGATGCAGGCACAGGAACAGGGGTGCCTGAGGCATGTTTGAGGACTGATGAAAATATTCTGTGAAAGACTCTGGCCGGGTTGGTGTTCCCAGCACAAGGCTGGCTCCAGGTTGAACTAGTGTCGGAAGCTAGAACTCGTGGACCTCAGCCTCAGACTCTGGCTACTTCCCACGGATTCTCTGTGCCCGGTCTTCCCATCCCATCCTGGATCTGAAGACTGGTGAGGAAGGCTGCTGAGTGGGTCGTGACCAATAGGAAGCACACAGGGGAAGCCGGCTATCCCCTGGGGATCCGTGCAGAGCCTCTCATTCTTCACATCACCTGTAATGGGAAAGAGATTAGTCTCTGCCATTTGGGGGGTGCAGCGGTATTATTTTCCTTTGATAAACCTGTCACACTGAGATATCAGGTTGCAGCAACGGTGGCTGTGACAGACACTGCATTTTCTCCTCTCCGTGTGCCATGCAAACATTCTTCATCTTGTCAGTGCAGGTCCTTGATGAATTGGTTCTCTTTGGATCTCCACACTCATTTCTGTTATCCATCATTTGGCAGGAGAGATATCTTTTCCTAACAAGGAGACTCATGTTTTTCAAACCCTTTTGATAGGTCCTTACCCTGCCCAGGAATCTTCCGTTGGGGATCAGGGCCTGCAAAACACATCTTTGCCTGAGTAGCCTAAGCTGCTGGGAAGGATTGAGGATGGAGTGGGCTGGACACCGTGATGAATCTGCTGGTGTCCAGGCTGATGAGGTTGGCTCAGCCAAGATAGCCCAAGTTCCAAGGAAATAAAGTTCCCCACTCAAGATGAGAATCAGCATCTCATTGTCCAAACTCGATCTTGTGATTCCGTGTAGGCTGCCTTTCTACTGACAAATTCAAGGAGATTGTTGAATGATCACTTGCCTACATCCTGCCCAGGGATACAACATGTTGTGGAGAAACATGGTGAATGTTTGCTGGTATAAAAACTGAGATCTTAAGGAGATTAGGGCATTAGGGCAGGCTGGATGGTTAGGGTGGACTTTCCGTGGGTGGTGAGGGTACTTACCCATGCTGTGACCTGTGACCTCTCTGCCTAGAGGAAATCCCAGGCAAATACTTTTGGTCACACCCTTACTTTCTGACTGGCCGCCTACATGGTTCAGTTTTCTAAACTAGGTCACAGAACTAAATTGGCCAATGTACAGAGCATAATTAGCTTTGTAAGAATGGAACTAAGAATGCTTAACCCGCATGCTACATCCATTTTCTGAGACAATGGATGCTCGTCACCAAAGTAGTCACCATTCTTTCCACCACTGACAGCTGCCTCTTTATGGATACATATGTCCCAGGGAGGTGGCATGAACCCAAGCTTCAGCAGGCGAGAATGCGGTGTAATTACTGAACCCCAGTGAACATCCAAGCCTGGGGTATTGTGATGGTTGTTACTAGTACTCTCAGTATGAGGGTGGTTAACACTAACAGGAACAATGGACTGGCATTGTCAGCAGGCAGCAGTCATCTTATATTCATATGCTACAGCAGAGTGGGACACATAGCCGCATTCAGGCCGCCATGGGTTCACGGTCTGAACTTTGGCTTTAGACGTTTAGAAACGAAATCAGATCTGTTGCTTCATCTTGCTCAGGTGATCCCAGTGAACTGATTCACACTAGCCAGACTCCAAAGAGATTAAAAAAACACACACACAATTAGAGTGTCCATTTATTAAATCCTAATGAGAGGCATGCCCTGTGAGTTCGTAGGATATGCACGTCATCAAACTAGCAAGTTCCGGGAGAAAAGCTCCAGGAGAAAGCAAATTCAAATGGGGAATTTCTTTAGTGAATGAGGGATCAGAGCAGTGGAGTTGGATGGAGTTGGATGGCCTTGGGTGTTTTCATAAAGGCTGTCATGGGCTCCAGGTCACCTTTCTCTCCCAAAGGTGACTTCTGACAAAGCGCACAGGTGTGCACATCGGCCGGTCAGAGTGGTGCGCACAGACAGTTCATACACCGGCTGCTCCTTCCTCCTGCCTTGAAGACCAGCCACTACCCTGCCGCCCTTCCTTTGTCATTCCAGCCTCACCGTTTTTGTTTTAGCAGGCGTTGATGGTTGGTTATAATTCACGGGTTCACGGATTTTACTTCACCAACTGCATTTCAGTATGGCTGCTTTCTGAGGGTTTTCAGAAAGATACCCAGTTCTCCCCCCGTCCCCCGCCATAGTCTATACTGAGTGGACCCTGTGGCTGCCTAAACGCCTTTTGTTTACAAGTCCTGCTTGACCATATTTCAGCTTTGTTGATGGGCCTGTGACCCTCTCTTCGCTGCTTTGGAAGAAAGACGGTTGGTTGTCTGTTGACAGTTGGTTCACCTCTAACCCTTAGGAAAGAGCCCAACATAAAATACTCCCTGGTTTCAAAAAGTGAGTGCAGGGACGGGCACAGGGTGATGGAGGAAATTTTACCAGCCGTGTCACTGAGGTGAAGAAGTTCTGCATCTTCCGTGGTGGTGGGAGCAGCTTCCTGCCGGTGACCTCACGGAGGGTGGAATCCACCCGTATCTGTGCCTTTGTCTTTGCAAAGCCCCAGGTAGAGAGGGCACCCAGTGGGAGAAGCAGGAAGGGAATGGCTCCTTTTACACACTGAATGGTGCCGCCTCAGGCCAAATGGAAAAACATTTCATGTAAAGCATCATCTCCTGGAAACTGTCATTTAAGTATCTAAATGCATCGGGATATTTAGCCTGGAGAGTGGAAGGCAGGGGATTGACATTCACTCACTTAACTAACACTTATTGATCCTAATATGTGCCCGGCAATCTCATGGGGCTGCTGAGCTGGATTCATTGCTGCCTGGCCACAGAGTCGCTACTGTGGCGACAGACAGTAAACAGATAACTTACAATCCAGTCTTGCTGGCTGTCACAGAGATGGGAGGCAAGAGCAGGGTGAGTTCCCAGGGGAGAGATGTGAACCCTGCCCAGGACTTGAGGAAGGCTCCGTAAGAGCGGTGTACGGTGATCTGGGCTTGGAAGTACTGTCTTCAAATATCAGCAAGGCTGTCAGGCAGGGGAGGTCGATGGTTTCTCCTCCAAGACCCAATTATCTAAGGAGATGATGTGCTTACTGTGTTTGATAAAAGATGTCCCATTCAATTTGAGACATAATTTTTAAAATATAACTTGGAAGGTTTGATCCGGCTTTGAACTTATATATTACCAACACTTGGGACTTCCCTGGTGGCACAGTGGTTAGGAATCCGCCTGCCAGTGCAGGGGGCATGGGTTCAAGCCCTTGTCCGGCAAGATCCCACATGCCGCGGAGCAACTAAGCCCGTGCGCCTAGAGCCCGTGCTCCGCAACAAGAGAAGCCACCACAGTGAGAAGCCCGCGCACCACAACGAAGAGTAGCCCCCACTCACTGCAACTAGAGAAAGCCCGCGCACAGCAAGGAAGACCCAATGCAGCCAAAAATAAATAAATATATATCACCAACACTTAGTAATGGGAAAAATATAATCTCTGAATATCAGGATGTTGAATTCGTCTAGCACCGCACCGAGCAAAATGAAAGAATCAAAAGAGGCTTTTATTATGTTTTAAAAGATTTACCGTCTGGAATGTAGCACCACAGCACAGAGACGGAAGAGAGGCAGTACAGAGATAGTTAAAAAACCAAAGGGGGCACAGAGAGGGAAATGGTCAGCTTGCCAGGAGCTGTAGTAACAAGAGTCATGAACTCAGACCACTCAGTCTGAGCAGGGTTTGTGCCCGGGAGGGGAAGAGATGGAGGTGGGAAGCGGAGAGGTACCAGTTCACACCAGCAAGTCCGGAAACACTCGTGGAGGTGGTTCAGATGGAGGGACCGGGAGCCCATGATTCAGTGCCAAGTACAGGTGCACCGGAGTCGGGCAACACACAAGACCGCTTTCCGGCTTCCGATCACCTTGCTGTGCTCTCACAGTGCACTTCCAGGGATGCCCCTCTGAGAATGCAAGCAGTTTCTAATCATCCTCAGAAGTGCCTTGGGAGAGAGCCATCGGAGGCCCGGGGACAAGTGAAAAGTTCAACCAAAAGCCAAGGGCAGCTTCTCCCCGGCCGGCCGCGCGGGAGGGAGGCCGAGATGGCAGATGAGATCTCCAAGGCTCAGGCCGCCCGGCCTGGTGGCAACACGATCTTCGGGAAGATCATTCGCAAGGAAATCACAGCCAAAATCATTTATGAGGATGACCGGTGTCTTGCTTTCCACGACATTTCCCCTCAAGCACCAACACATTTTCTGGTGATACCCAAGAAACATACATCCCCGATTCCTTCGACAGCAGATGACGGTGAAAGTCTTCTTGGACATTTAATGATTGTTGGCAAGAAATGTGCTGCGGATCTGGGCCTGAAGAAGCGTTATCGAGTGGTGGCGAATGAAGGTTCAGATGGGGGACAGTCTGTCTGTCACGTTCATCTCCATGTTCTTGGAGGTTGGCAGATGAATTGGCCTCCTGGGTAAGCGTGTTGTAGGGATAATTTTCCCTTCTCTATGCAGTGATCAGGTCTGCAAGTTCCAATACGCAAAACAATACTTTTTTTGCCTGTGTATGGAGAGATTGCAGAAATAATTTTAAAAACCCATACACAATAAAAGACATTGTTGCATGGTCTGAATTCTGTATTTGACTTTTTTAAAATTAATTAATTTATTTATTTATGGCTGTGTTGGGTCTTCGCTTCTGTGCGAGGGCTTTCTCCAGCTGTGGCAAGCGGGGGCCGCCCTTCATCGCGGTGCGCGGGCCTCTCACTATCGCGGCCTCTCTTGTTGCGGAGCACAGGCTCCAGACGCGCAGGCTCAGCAGTTGTGGCTCACGGCCTAGTTGCTCCGCGGCACGTGGGATCTTCCCAGACCAGGGCTCGAACCCTTGTCCCCTGCATCGGCAGGCGGACTCTCAACCGCTGCACCACCAGGGAAGCCCTGACTTCTTTTTTTAAAATATTTGTTGGAATGTCTGAAGGTGGAGTTCATAATTTGGCAGGTTTTGGTTTTTTCTCCCCAAGGAGGACTCAGCATATGCACATGGCAATAATGCTGCGACTGATCTTTGAAGACAAATTTAAAATTTTCATAAATTTAGCTTTAGCTTTGAAACATCCTTTTAGGGTAAAATATTAGTCCAGGAGAAGATTTTCTAGTCCAGTTCTCTTGTTTTCTAAGAACAAAGGAGCATGTGATGTGATTGATCCAGAAAGTGACAGTTGTAGGTGTAACAAAAATGCTTTTTGTCCAGCTCACATGTTTCCCCTGGACTACTGGGTAGTGTGGAAGGGATGAAAGTAGATTTGTCACAGAATCTTTGATGACCATGTGAAGCCATACGATGGTGTTTCCTTGTTACCTAACGCTATTGATTATAAAGACTTGAAAATATATTATTTAGAATTAACTCTCCAAATTGAAAACTCATTGTTGTGAATGTGTGTGTGCACACTAGCAAAAATTTTTAAGTTTTGCATGACTCTGGCTATGTAGAGTTGGGGGGAGATCTCAGGGTTTGAGTTCTTACGTAGGCTGATAGCAAAACTTTTTTTTTTTTTGGTCTTGCCATGCACCCTAGCCTCTCTAAGGTTGCACAGGGAAAATAGTTCTGCTTCTTTACTTTCCTTCATGTAGGCACTTTCCAGCTTCTAAAATTTATTTAATACTTCTTGCCTGCTTTGTCTCTTCTCTCGTTCTCTTTATGTTTATGGGTTCCTTCCATTTTTAATCCCTAAGACCATTTTAGTAGATTTTGACACATTTTATTGTAAATTGTTTTTCTTCTAAATGTTTAATTTTATTAGTGATTTTAAAAATTCAGGGGGAGTGGATTAGGGAAATTGGCTGTATATGTCTTACAAGTGAGTTTTTTCCAACTGTCATTTTTTTACATTGTTTATGGTGTTTAAAATATTTATATAGTTAATGTATCAATTTTTAATTTAGTTCATATTTTTAAGAGCCTTTCCCACCCTAGGAGGATTTATAAAAAAAAATTTTCCCCTAATACTTTATGGCTTTACGTATTTTTATGACTTTTTTATGAGGGAAGGCCTGGGGGGGGAGGAGTTTTGGAGGGATTATATATTATATATAAGAGGCTTGAGTCTACTTTCCTTAGGCTTATTAACTTTCCCATTGATTTCATCAAACTATTGCTAATAAATCAGGTAGATAACCAAAAAAAATAAAATAAAGCCAAGGCCAACAGGATGGAGGTACCACGGCATCTCCCAAGCGCGGCTGTTAGTCTGCACAGATTCATAACTGCTTCCCAAGCAGAATGTGAGAGAGAAGGACGCTGCGGGGATGGAGGAGGGAGGGAGGGAGCAAGAGCCCCACAACAAAAAAAGCAAAGTCTAGATGCAAAAGTCGAGCTGGGAATCCGCCGGGGTTCAGAACCATCAGTTAGTGCGCATGTTAAGTGCCTCCAGACTGGATGTCTGCACCCCTTGGTGCAGGTCCATCACTCTGCTGAAAGTCTCGCTGTGTTTCTCCTAACACAACATCCCAGCTGTTGGATGCTCCCCTCACTCACCCTCTCCTCCCCACCAAGCCCTCCGATCCACTGTCAGCGGGAGCTGAGTCGGAAGTGGGTTTGTCCGAACCTCCTTCAGTTGTACCTCACCTGCAGGAGGAGGCGTGGGGCCTCTGCGCTCATCCCCCAGACTTCCTGGAGGCGCTGTCCGTTTGGCTGATGCAAGAATCAAAAAGTTATACACTTGGAAGTAGAACCCTGGATCACAACACAGCAGCTTTGCGTGATGTCTTGTCCAGCCTAACCCTTTACTGTGTACAGAATTTTTTTAAACTATTTTACTCCAAGTGGAGTATGCTGGTAACTTCTCACGCTTGGGGAAGTGTTTGTTCTGCTTCCCCTCCTGCCTGGCTCCCAGTCTTCAGCTCCGGTGTGTATAAACTTTCTAAGGGATGTGTTTCCCGTCTACCTTCCAGTGTCCCTTTCCTTCCTCCTCTAGGTCTTTGCCTGATCTGCTTCCTCCCTCTCAGCGTTCAACGTATTAACCAAATCTCAGGGGTGACGTGGGACATTTATCCATTGCATTTCACCAGCGATGCCTTGCTGAAGTCAGCCTGCATGTCGTTCTAATACGTGAACCTTCCCTTGTCTCTTCCAAGTTTGTAAGGAGAAAGCTCTGGCATGCACATAATCAAATCTCTAGTTGCTGAAGTAATTGCATTACATTTTTGTAAACATTCGGGTCTCATTGGTCATTCTGGTCTATAAATCCGAATAATACGCTGAAATCTATTTTGCTGGGCTTTGCAGCTAATTGCCAGAGATTTGTCAGCTTAAAATGCTTTGCTTTATTTTATTATTTTTAAAAGTCTGTCCTATTAACCAGAGTAGGACAAATACAACCCAGATTCCTTAGTATGGGGTCCCAGACATTCATCCAATACACACTTGTTGAATAACTACTGACAGCTGGTGGCTGTCCAGTGGTTGTTACATATCCAACAGACTAGCATCCAGAGGAGGGATGCCCAGATTTGATTGATTTTGTCTTTTTCAGAGACCCATTGGGCCTGGGTGGGCCCTATGTGGCTCCTCTGGTTTGCAATATACGTGCAGGTTTGTTGTTTTGCTCAATTGCATAAAAATATCCTTTCTTCACAAATATACCTTTGAGTAAGTGTTCTCAGGGAAGCTTGAGCTCTTCCTAGAATTGAGGGCTCCTTGGCAAGATGCTTGGAAATACCAGCCCACAAAGATTAAGGTTGAAAAGCAGGTCTCCAGGACATCCTATCCTCATATCCATCACGCAGGGCACAGAATCATGACCAGAGGGAACATCTCTCTCCTTCCCTTCCAGAGCAGTTTAGAAGTTTAGGTCCGGATGTGTGGTCATTCGTGGGTGATTCTGAGACTAGTTAGAAAATTTTAAAATATGTTGCTTTGTTTTCACATTTAGAATGTAAACTGAGTCCCTCAGGACTCGTCTGTTCTCTCCCCCTCCCATTGGCCTTCCTGATGCTGAGCGGGGTCCCAGTTCACAGTATTTCAGCTGAAGGAGCCTGAAAAGTGAGATGGAGTTGGTGGGATGGAAAAGAGAAGAAGTGGTGATAAGGGTGGACAGCTGGTATATAGTGATTGTTGTGTGACAGGCGCTTTCAAATGGTATATCTTTTATCTGTATCCACCCATCAATCCATGTGTGTGTGTCATATGTAATATAGATTAGTATATAGTGTATGTTATATATGCTATAATATCTCTCTATAAGGTGGGCCTTGTTATCCTCCTTTCACAAAGGAACCTGAGACCGGGAGACAGTATATAATTTCCCCTAAGTCACTCCAGCAGGACTTGCTGGAGCCAGGATTTGAATCTGTGTCTTTATTTCTCTAAATCCCAGGATGAGGGAACCACATCATGAAACTCGTCCAAAAGCAAAGTCAGTCCTCAGAGAACAGCAACACACCTGCCCTTGAAAAATCACTTCTCTCTTCACCTTCAGAGCCCTTCTTCCAATTAGACTAAAGGGCAAGATCTGGGTTGCTGTTTCCTAATGATGATTCAGTCATCAGTGTGGAGTGTTGCGCTCAGATGCTTTTTATGTAAAATACTTGCCATATGTTTGGGCACTTAAGATGTATATTTCACGTGGTCAGAAAACTTGCTTATACGTGTTACTTGATTTTGCAGTTACCCTGGGTCAGTGAGACAGGCCTGAACTTCTGCCCAGCCCTGCCGAGTTCCACAGGGTCTGGACAGCAGATTTTCTATCCTCTGCATCCCCTTGCAGCTCTGTGGTGGAGCAGAGGGCTGAACAGAGGCTACTGGATGTGACCATAGTGGGACTTGGTTGAGTAGAGACCCAGGTTCACTTTTCTCCATCCTTCTCTCCCACCGACAGGCCAAAATGGTCCCAAGCGTGCTCCTGCCATCTGTCTTTCCAGAAGCCAGGCTGGGGTGGAACATTAGGTGTTGATTTTCTAACTGTAAGGACACAACTTCCCAGAGCTGCTTCCCCAAGGGGGGACCATGTCCACTGAAAAGAGAAGTTTTAATTGCCAGGTGCCACAGTGACGTGTCGGGGCCACTCTCAGACCCACCCTTACCCCTGTGTTCTCCACCACGGTTGATGGCAGCCCCCGTGTCCATGCTGGGGACCTGGGAGGCATCCTGGCCTTCCCTCTCCACACCGCTGATCACCTGATCTTCCCGGCTTTCCCTCTGAACTCTTCTAGAATCTGTTCCCCCGATCCAACTACCACCACCTGTGCCGTCCTGTCCTTCCTTTGCCGGAGCACAGCTGCTAACTTGTCTTCTGCCTCAGAGCCACCTTCCTCACAGCTGCAAAGCCAGCCGCCTGCCTATATGGCTTCCCTGTCTACACCTTTATCCATTTATCCATCAGTGGACACACAGACTGTTTTCATGTCTTGGCTATAGTGAATAATGCTGCAGTGAACATGGGAGCATGCATATCTCTTCAAGGCACTGATTTCATTTCCTTTGGGAATATATCCAGAAGAGGGATTCCTGGATCACATGGTAGTTCCATTTTTAATTTTTTGAGAAACCTCCGTAACATTTTCCATACTGGCTGCACCATTTTGCATTCCCACCAACGGTGCACAAGAGTTTCATTTTCTCCACATCCCCACA